AACATGTTGAATAACCTTATTTGTACTAATTAAGTAATTATAGACTCTTTTTGAAGCCAGCAAGTTATTAAACTTTGCAATAAATAATAGAAAGAAGGTAAACCATTTTTTTCTCGAATGCGCAGGAGAGCTGTGCATCTGTGTATTATAGAGAGAAAAGGAACGGCCCCTTACATGAACACCACCACCTCACTCTGGGCCAAGCCACGAGGAGTTGAACGAAACAGAATAGGTTGCACTGAAAAAAAAACACCCAAGGAAGAGACTTGACCAAAAACCTCCCAAACTAGTTTAACTAGCCCAAGCCATGACCTAGACCGAGAGTCCGTAGGCCTCGTGCACCTGCGAGACACCACAACTCCTCCTCTTCTTTGAAAGCCTGCAAGAGTCTAGAAATCCTCGGTGCAGCTCTGTCAAAGACACAAGCATTGCGATGCTTCCAAAGGATCCATGTGCCTTGGAAAATAACTGTGTTTAGCCCCTTCTTCATTCCCTTTGACAGTTTCTTGGTAGCTTTGTGCCACCAATCAGCGAAGGAAATTTCATGAGAGCTAGGTACTCAATCTTGCAGGCCCAACACGGATAGAATCGGGTACCAGAAATCCTGTGCAAGCACACAGGTGGTCAGGAGATGTTGGATGCTCTCCTCCTCTTGGTCGCAAAATGGACAGTGACTAGGATGTGGAAGTCCTTTCCTCGTGAGTCTATGAGTCGTGCAACACCTATTCCTTATTGGCATCAAAGGAAGATTTTGCATTTCGTTGGAGCCCATGATCTCCAAACTTGACGCCAAGGCTCGAAAGTAATTGAACCATGAAAGAATTGAAGTCCCGATAGGCAGACTTGGAGGAAAAACAACGTGATGCTTCTAGTCTCCAAAGGTGGATATATGCATCCTACGTTAGTATTGTCTCTTGGAGGATATCCCACAACTGAAAAAAATTCAAACCAACCAGCCAAAGAGAGTCCTCCTCTGATGTCTGCTGGCCAATCATGCTTGTAATGCTTCCGTTACTGTGCGACATGTGCGGGTATTCTGCAGTACCGCAGCCACCACACTCGGTGCGATATCTTGTACTGAGTAGCCCATAAGCCATCGATCTGACCAGAAAAGTGTGCTACTCCAATTTACGACCTGAGTCTCTATCACAATGTTGAACATGGCCGTGGCATATGGGTACACTTGTATGTCCAGACCGGCCCTGGGGTCTATCTTTTTGAGCCACAACCATCAAATTTGGAGCGCCCAACCCATGAACTCCATGTTAAGAATACCGAGGCCACCATAATCCAAGGGTTGCTGCATCTTATCCCAAGCGACCAGGCAAGAACCTCCATTTACTTGTTTCTGTCCCTTCCAAGTGAAAGCTCTTCTTAATTTATGAATGGACCGAATAAACCACTTGGGAACCTTGATAGCGATCAACAAATAGATGGGAATAGCTGATAACACAAAATGTACCCAAGTAACTCTACCAGCCATATTCATGAGGTAAGCCTTCCAAGCTGGTAATTTATCACCAACTCTTTCTATCCACGATAATAACTCAGCTTTACTGAATTGTTTGTTCAAGACCGGTAACCCCAAATAAGTGCGGAAAAGCAGTAGGCGTATGGGGCAGGGTAGATGACACCATCTCCAAGTTCGATGGTTCACATCTAATAGGAACAACACAACTCTTTTGCAGGTTACAGTGAAGACCGGATGCCTCACCAAAATTATGAAGAAATTCCATTGTCAGTCCCATCTCTTCCTCAACCGGCCGGATGAACAAAGCGACATCATCAGCGTACAGCAAGATGCGCTGCCAGGATTACGCCGAGAAAGAGGTTGTAAAAGATCCAACTCTTTGGCCTTTGTAAATAAACTGATTAGGACATCCATTGCCAATATAAAAAGCATGGGCGAGAGGGGGTCTCCCTGGCGGTGCCCTTGTTGGTTCCTGATTACATCTCTAGGCTCTACATTGAGCAGCACTAGAGTTGAAGATGTAGCGAGCAGATTTAAAACCAGGTTGCGCCAAACCTGTCCAAAATCCAAGTGAAAGCTCTTCTTAATTTATTAATGGACCGAATAAACCACTTGGGAACCTTGATAGCGATAAACACATAGATGGGAATAGCAGATAACACAAAACGTACCCAAGTAACTCTACCAGCCATATTCATGAGGGAAGCCTTCCAAGCCGGCAATTTATCACCAATTCTTTCTATCCATGATAATAACTCAGCCTTCGTGAATTGTTTGTTCGAGACCGGTAACCCCAAATAAGTGCAAGGAAAAGCAGCAGGTGTACATGGCAGGGTAGATGACACCATCTCCAAGTGCGATGGTTCACATCTGATAGGAACAACACAACTCTTTTGCAGGTTACAGTGAAGACCAGATGCCTCCCCAAAATTGTGAAGAATTTCCATTGGTAGTCCCATCTCTTCCTCAACCGGTAAGATGAACAAAGAGACATCATCAGCGTACACCGAGATGTGCTGCCCAAGATTACGCCGAGATAGAGGTTGTAGAAGATCCAGTTATCCGGCCTTTGTAAATAAACTGTTTAGGGCATCATTACCAATATAAAATGCATGGGCGAGAGGGGGTCTCCCTAGCGGAGCCCTTGGTGGTGACTGATTACATCTCCAGGCTCTCCATTGAGCAGCACTCGAGTTGAAGATGTAGCGAGCAGAGTTAAAACTAGGTTGCGCCAAACCTGTCCAAGATCCAAGCAAGTGCGCTAGAATTTCCAATAAAAAAGCCCAATAGACTGAATCAAAAGCTTTGGATACATCCGGCTTTAGAAATATACTTGGCACTTGATGTCGATGGAGAAGTTTGATTGTTTACTGGACCAAGATGTAGTTCTCATGGATACAACGACCGTGGATAAATGCGCTTTGGTTTGCAGACACCAATCTGTCCAGGAAAAAGTCTCACAAAACATAACCACGAGTTATTATTTTGAATAAAATAATCATCAGTAATAATGATTGACATGGGATCTAAACTATTTTCTATTTCACATATGTCAATTTTTTTTTAAAAAAAGTCTAAAGTAACACCTTAAATCTATATCTTAGTTAATCACCTCTGCTATTATAGAATAGTAACCTCATGTAACCTCTAAACATTCATCTAAATTTCCATATATGCCAGTATTAAAAATGACTATTAACCCTCTAAATCTGCTTCAAAAGTTGTCAAATAAAAAGATCCACACTCCTATATATGTATGCTTTTATTTACTGAACATCTACTAATATAGAAAGAATTAAACCACGATGTACATGCATGATGTGTGTTATCATACAGAAAGTGTATTTATATATACAGGAAACAATAGGGATATCCACTACACTAAAGTTTTAGCTAAACACATGTGGAACAGTGGAGGTGCGCGCGATGCAAATGGAAAGCTATGTGAATAACATATAATTTTTTTTGCGAGATAAAGAACATATAAATTAATCTGAACGAATACCAACATAGATATGAGAAAGAGTAAATATAAACAATTTTGATTAGTTGTGGATCCTACATTTATTTATGAACTTTTGATTAACGCTATTCTCTTAAAAATAAGGCCGTGCAGGAGCATGGCTCGTTCGGCTATTAAATTTTTCTAAAGACAGACAGCGAAAAGATTAATCTAACTCTGCTGTCTGTCCACGGCCGGCCGGATTTATTTTTTTGCTCCGGAGAGCCGGCCAGGTTATACTGTCAGGATCAGGGGGAATGGACAAATATCTACTACTATGTGTCTATGTGCACACTAGTTGCGTTTTGGCCTTTATTAGGTTTCTAATAGTGTGCTGGACTGTGTTACTCCCTCGGTCCCACAAAAAATGTCATTCTCACTTAAGGAGAAGTCAAACATAGTAAATTTTGACCAATTATATATAAAAAATATTAATATTTATAATACGTAATTAGTACCATCAGATAAATTGTTGAATATATTTTTATAATAAATTTATTTAATTTCTAATATTTTTTATAAAACTAGTCGAACTTGAGAAAGTTTGACCATGACACATCCTATAGCGTCATCTTTTATGGAACCGAGGGAGTATGTCATGTAGACGTAGTGCCCTGAAAGATATGCAGAGGACGATAAATTTTGGATATGGATTCTACTTCATCCGTTCCAAATTATAAGTCGTTTTGACTTTTTTAGTTTATCCATTTTGCTATGCATCTAGACATATTATTATATCTAGATGCGTAGAAAAATGGATGTACCAAAAATGTCAAAGCGACTTATAATTTGAAATGGAGAGAATACCATTTAAAAAATGTACAAGATGTTTTAATAAAGTCAGACATAATTACCGGTGTTATATATACAATCATATATTCATATATATTACACCTCGAATGGAATCATACTCTAGATTGGTAATAGTTACAAAAATAAAAGTCGGCTTCCTGTTTCAATGCTGAACTTCCATGCAAATCTCTTCTGACTCTAGAGTAGCAGGGCCAGATCAAATTTCAGTAGCACTTCTCTCGTTCTGGCAGTCTGGCACGGAAATTGAACTCATTTTTTGCCTCATACTATATGCATGGTCCCCGAACTCTTCCGAAGGACGGACTAAGTCTAATCAGCTTCGAAAACAAAACAACAGCATGCTCATCAGTTGTTCTTGCATGCGCAGGAATTACCGCTCTTGCTCATCAATTGTTCTTGCATGCGCAGGAATTACCAAGAGGATACGGTAACATCGCAGCGAGCTTACTGCCTGACACATGCCATCACATACAGATAGCATCATTCCTGTTACAGCGCACTTGTTTCAGATAGGGCCATTTAACCTGGTATTGAACTAAACGATCTGAGAAGTGAGAGCACGCCTATATATACGCCCCACGAACCAAGGGGCAGTGCATCCCAAGCACCTCGATCGAGCTCATTAGGAATAAATAAATAGCGATGGCGAAAGCTAAGACTGCTATAGTCATCGTCATCCTAGCTCTGCTTCAGGTCTCATGGGCCACAGCCCGGATGCTCGATGACCGCGGCGGCAGCGTCGACTGGGCCACAGCTGGTGGCCTCAGCGGCGGCACCTTTGCTGTGATGACGGTGAACAGGTTCCAGAAGGGCGAAGATGGCGGAGGCGCGGTAGCGTGTGATGGCCGCTTCCACAGCGACGACGACCTCATTGTGGCACTGTCCTCGGGGTGGTACGCAGGAGGAAAGAGGTGTCACAAGACGATCCGCATCACGAGCAAGGACACCGGGCGCACCGTCGAGGCCCAGGTCGTGGACGAGTGCGACTCCCACAACGGCTGCAAGAAGAACATCGTGGATTCCTCTCCCGCCGTCTGGAAGAAGCTCGGGCTCCATACTGATGTCGGCGAGGTCCACATCACCTGGTCCGACGCCTGAATCCACACGTCACGCACCGAGTTAGATCTTGGATGGGTGTGCCGAGGGCTATCTGGGAATACCGTCGATCGTGCGGATGTATCCTACCTCTAGTTACTACACGTAGTTAGCTACACTCCATCGAATAAAAGTTTCCATTCACGAGGGTGCAAAACAAACTATTGCTTTGTGTATGTGTGTTATGTACTTGTAAAATCTTATTCGATTAGAATATATATACTCACGTGTCTTTGTGACTTTGATTTGTTATGTGTGAAATATTATTAAATGATAATGAAAATAACCCCACTAATTAGCGAAACGCTCGCTAGATTCTCCGACCAGCAAACCATCACATAACCTCTGCGACTCTCGTTTTTCTGGAGAAAAAGAAAGAATATTCCGGCAACTTTCTATTTTTAAAAATTATAAAATTACACTCGAACTTTTATGCATTAACATTTTATGGGACAAAAATTACCACCACGGTTCTTATCATAGTTTTTCATTATAGGTTTTTACATAATTATATAACTTTTCTGAAAGCGTCATGGCACTACCGGACTCCTGTAGTTTGCCGAGTGTCCGAAACACTCGGAAAAATACATAAAACACTCGGCAAATGGTTCATCGAGTGTAACACTCGGCGAACAACACTCGCTCAAAAACAGTGATGGCAAAGCCAACTTTGCCGAGTGTCTTTTATCGGCCACTCAACAAAGCCTTTGCCGAGTGCCCGACACTCGACAAAGTTGAAACCGAAAAAACCCGAAAAAATGGGATTTTTACCCAAAAAAATGGAAATTTTTTTTATCGATGGAGGCCCCCACCGGCCAGCGCCCACCCATCTCCGACATTTTTCGCGTGAATTTCATGGCTACGCGACCAACGCGATTCGAACCCGAGACCTCCCGCTGTGCACGTACCTCCTCTACCACTACACCACACTCTCACTTGTCTCTGGATTCCGTTTTAGTTCCCAATATATTATACTAAACCGAGTGTAAATTACATGTTTGAGGCCCTAAACGAATTCAAATAAAAAAGTTGTAAACTACAAAGTTTCATAACTTTTCGAGATCTACACTTTTAGTTTAGGAAGTTTTTCCATCCGATGTCGTTTACAATATTTGAATTTTAAAATTTTGAAATTCAAACACAGTTTTGCATGACAAGATGTTTTCAAATCAAAAAGTTGTAAACTATAAAGTTCCATAACTTTTCGAGATCTACACTTTTAGTTTAGGAAGTTTTTCCATCCGAGGTCGTTTACAAAATTTGAATTTTAAAATTTTGAAATTCAAACACAGTTTTTCATGACAAAATGTTTTCAAATCAAAAAGTTGTCAACTACAATGTTTCATAACTTTTCGAGATCTACACTTTTAGTTTAGGAAGTTTTTCCATCCGAGGTCATTTACAAAATTTGAATTTTAAAATTTTGAAATTCAAACACAGTTTTGCATGACAAAATGTTTTCAAATCAAAAAGTTGCCAATTACAAAGTTTCATAACTTTTCGAGATCTACAAAGTTTATTTTGGTTGTTTGGTCAGCTGTTCATCCGACATAGTCGTTCTAACATTGTTCACAAATCTTATATATCTCTATTGTAGTTTCATAAACTACCAGAGAGATATGTTAGATTTGTGAACAAATTTATTTTTATTTTGTCGTATGAAGAAAAGACCAAAACAAACATTGTACATCTTGATGAGTTATACAACATTGTAGTTGAAAACTTTTTGATTTGAATTAATTTACTGCTTCAAAATGTGCTTTGAAATTTTCTTTGCCGAGTGTCAAAAAAATAACACTCGGCAAATAAGCTCTTTGCTGAGTGTCAAAAAAAACACTCGGCAAAGAGACTCTTTGCCGAGTGTTAAAAAACACTCGGCAAAGAGCCTCTTTGCCGAGTGTCAAAAAAACACTCGGCAAAGACGTCTTTGCCGAGTGCTCGAAAAAAAACACTCCGCAAACCACGTGGCACTCGGCAAAGAGCCGGTCTCCGGTAGTGTGGCAGCACGATGAAGCTCACCAGGTTGTTGGTTAAGGCGGGAAAGCGATAGGAGCAGATGGCCGGTCATGGCGGCTAACAGCACTGGCAGCCAATGATGGCATGGACACGAGCAGCTCTCTTTGGCGAACCTGCGCAAGCATGGAGGAGTAAGGTTTGATCTGTTATAGGAGTTGAAAAATGAGGGTGAAGCTAACCCGTGTGAGCTTGGAGGTCGCCAATGTTGGCAGCAGCACCGTAGGGTGTAGGGAAAGAGGGGCGGTGACAACGCTCAAGAAAGGGTCACGGATCCCGATCGAGGTGCGGGCGGATCTGACCCCGACGGATCTGGCCCCGGCGGCGCGGGTGGATCCTGCGGAAGCGGGCTCCACCACGGCGGCGGATCGAGGTCCCCTGCGGCGGCGGTGCGCAGCCCAGATCCAGGCCTAGGGCCGGTTCGGGCTGCAGGTTTTTTTCTTCCATTTTTTAATTTATTTTCGGAGACAGCAAAACAACCGCCTCCGTTAATCAATTTAGCCTGCCTTCATTGATCTTTGTGTAGTAGTGAGATAGCCAAGTACACATACATTTCTACCCGCTTCCTGCCGCTGGTTGCTTAGCATAGCTACAGCCGGAGCCGGGGAGTACTACATGCCATTGATTATGCATACAATTCTGAAAATGTGATTTTGATGATTTGAACAATGAAGTTTAAAGGATGACATCACGATAAGGGGAGCATATTTGATTAAATCTACCTTGAAGGTAAACCACTAAAATCTTATTTGGTAAAATATTGAAATTTATGCATAGAATATGAGGATTGACACATCTGTTCACAAAGAATAGAAGATGAAGAATACATGATAAAAAAAGGTTAATTGTTCTACTTTTTTTCCTAGTGAGTTTTTACTTGATGAAGGATTATCACATAAGGGTTCCAATGCGGCAACATGTGCAATTCAACTTGGGAGTGTGATATACTCTTTTTCTTTAATACTATTTTTCCACTAGCACTACCTGAAAAACGTACTTTGCCAAGTGCCTGATATTTTGCCGAGGGCAAAATATCGTGGCACTTGGCAAAGCAATATTTTGCCGAGTGTAGCACTCGGCAAAATTTTTGCACACAAACAAAAGCAGGCCGAAAGTGCCGAGTGCGCAAAGTCAGCAACAAATCTGGACTTTGCCGAGAGTGCCTGCACGGCAAAGTCAAAGCTTTCGGCAAAATTTAGCTTGACCGTGATAATGCGCCACCACTGTCGTCGATTTTTGCCGAGTTCCGACCATCGTGCACTCGACAAAATTTGTTTTTTTTTTTAAAACTTTGCCGAGTGCCATCCTTGGGCACTTCGCAATTTTTTTTATTTTCTAAAACAAATTTTGCGAAAGTGCCTCCGGCCCTAAGACTTCTAAGCAAAGACATTTTTGCGAGTGCTCCCCATGGCACAAGGCAAAATATATATATTTTTTTTGATTTTGGACCCAAATTTTTTTGTGTAGCCTTGTGACATTATTTAAAGCTCTACTCTAAAATTTGGTGAAATTTTGACTTTTTTAGGTATATTTCATTAATTTATTTCATTTCGTTGATTTTTTCGGCGTATTTCAAATTTGAACCGCAGGTCTATGGAATAATGGAATTTGGTCATCCAAAAATTGATATTCATGATATTTAGCGTATATTGAGGCCGTATCCAGGGAGTCACATGAAATCTCGAGCATCTCGTTGACGTAACATGTCGAGTTAGTTGCGGGAAAAGTGAATTTAAATTATATAAAATCCAAACGAAGTCCGAAAATCACGAAACTTGTGGAGGCGTCGTGTTATCGCATGTGGAGGCTGTGGTAAAAAATTGATAAGATTTTGAGCAAGTAGTGACGTCGGATGCCAAAAACCCAGACATCTGCACATGTGATCACTTCGTTTCACATGTAGAGATGTCTGGGTTTTTGTCACATGTGGAGATGTCTGGGTTTTTGGCATCCGACGTCACAACTTGCTTGAAACCTTCTCAATTTTTTACCACAGCCTTCACATGCGATAACACGACGCCTCAACAAGTTTCGTGATTTTCGGACTTCGTTTGCATTTTATATAATTTAAAATCACATTTCCGGCAAGTACCTCGACATGTTACGTCAACGAGATGCTCGAGATTTCATGTGAGTTCCTGGGTATGGCCTAAAAATACTCAAAATATCATGAGTATCAATTTTTGGATGACCAAAGTCCATTATTCCATGTACTTGCAGTTCAAATTTGAAATATCCCAAAAAATTAGACGAAACGAAATAAACTAATGAAATATATCAAAAAAAGTCAAAATTGCCCCAAATTTTAAAATAGAGATTGAAATACTATCACAAGGCCCCAGGAAAAAATTTGGGCCCAAAATAAAAAAAAATTGCCGAGTGCCATGGGGGGCACTCGGCAAAGTGGGATTTGGGATTTGCCGAGTGCCGGCCCAAGGGCACTCGGCAAAGTTGATTTTCAAAAATTAAAAAAAAACTGGGCACTAAAAGCCCACCGGCCCAACCCCCGCGCGGCCCAACCCTAAGTCACGCCCCGCGCCCACCCCAGCCGCCGGACTCTCCGGCGAATCGCCGCCGCCGGCGAGCCCCGCCCTCGCGCCCGCGTGCGCCCGCACCCGCGTACGACTGCGTCTTTTTTTGAAGATGGTGCCGCAGACGCACGCGCAGGCCAAGGCTCTCGCATTCGCGCACCGCAAGGACCGAATCCAGGGGTAAGAAGTCTCGGTCTCGAGGTTCTTCGTCTGGGGATAGGATTGGGAGAAGGTTGGCTCTCCACCGCCGCTGATGCTGGCTAATACTTACTTTTTCTTCTGTATTTTTTAAAAAAAGTTTCCATCCAGATCTGTGTGGAGAACTTATTGGAGACAAAGAGCTGGAGCGTTGCTGAAGCTTGCAGGCAAGGAGAGTTTCGTGGTATTCGCCTTGCTTGTTATTGTAGTGCGATTCAGCTTCTTGTAGTGGTAGAACTGTGACCTTTTTGGCTTGTAGAT